TGGCCCGAAATATTTTTGATCTGCTGTTAATAAAGTATTATTTGGAATAATTTGTGCTGTTGTTTTTATTAACAAATTATCATCATTTGCTACTCGATATTCCATCTAAAATGATATCTAGTGTATTTTTGAATAGACCTAATGATGTAGTATAAACCTTGGAGGTAAAGGTAAATTTGGTACAACAGTTACAACAATTCAATCATTTCGAACATTTACATTAAAATTTGTTCTATTAATGATTTCATTTATTGGTAAGATTAAAGATAAGTACATAATAATGCTCATGTTTAATAGAAATTTTGAACAAATTACAGAAATGAGCTTTCCAATTATTATGAATAATACACCAAATATACCAACCATCCAAACTTTACAAGCTCTAATTGATTATTACATTAGGATTTCCAATCAAGAACAAATAAGTGACGCTAATAAAGGAGATAATTATAAATACCAATAATTCAACAAGTGAAACTGACTTATTAGAAGTAGTCTCTTAATTGGTTTATTTATTAAGTATAAGAAAACAAGGTGGTGATAAAGCAGGCGGACTAAAAATGTATATTAACATTAATACTAATATAGCAATTTGAGGCCCTGACCCTTTTCCATTAATCTAATCTTTCAAATTATTCAAACAACCAGCTAATGGGCTCTTAATTAATCCTTAGACAAAATAATGATAAATTCCGACCATCCAGCAAGAAAGCAAAGCTTTATAGCTTATTTGAAGAAAACATTCAAAACAGTTCTGAAAATCTTCCACAAATTTCACAGAAGACTGGGTTGATATTGCATTTTAAAGTTGATATCTTAGTTATAAGTTTCTTATTACTTATATTATTTATTCATTCATTAAATCTCAGGCTGTTAGGCTACAACACTCACCAAAAACAGTCACCAGAACTTCATTAGAGAATCATTTTATTTTTCAATCATTGAGCATTAATGATGACAATGAGATGAAACAATTGCGTCAAATTTATCATATCAACAACAAATACTGTTAAAAAAAATGAATGATTGATTCATTTATAACTAATGAATTATCACCATCATCATCATTTT